GACAAAAATCCTTATAACCAGAAAACAAAGGCTAGAAAGAAAATCAGCACTGTTTTAGTCAAAAGTCATAAAATGCCATTTCATATGTTCAATCTCATGTACTTAATCTGTCTTTTGTCGTGGTTCAATCTTCCCAGTTGAATTCTGGGATATAATACTCAACTTCAGACTTGTCCTTACAATTAAGTTGACCATTTGCTTCGTTTCTGAACTCTTATTTCTGTGTGCCTCTATTTAATTTTCCTGTTATAGCACTCCCTTCAGAATGTCTTGGAGATTTGGTCTGGTGATGGTAAATTCTTTCAGGTTTTGTTTATCTGAGAATGTTCTTGTCTTTTCTTTCATATGAAGGATAATCTTGCTGGGTACAATATTCTTGGTTGGAATTGCTTTTCCCTTAACACTTTGAATATATTTTCCTATTCTTTCCTCCCTCTCATTGTTTCCAACGAGAGGTCTGCTGTGAGCCTGATGAGATATTCTTTGTAGGTAACTTGAATTTTCTCTCTTGCCATTCTTACTTAGTATCTTGTCTTTGTCTATGGTTTTGGACACTCTGGCTGTAATGTGTTTGAAGAAGATCTTCTTGGGTTGATTCTATTTGGGGTCTTTTGTATTTCTTGGGACTGGATATTGAATGCCTCTCCAGGCTGGGAAAGTTTTCTTCCAGGATTCCATGGAATAGATTATCAATGACCTTACAAGTCTCTTTGCCTTCTGGGAAACATGTTTTTCAGTGTTTGGATGTTTGATGGTATCTAATATTTCTCGTATATTATTCTCATTTGGGGGGACAGTTATCTCAGTCTTCGTGGTGGATTTTTCTAGGCCAGTGGTTCTATATTCTACAATTAAGATTCTATTTTCTGTATGATCTAGTCTGCTTTTAATACTTTCAAAGGAGGTTTTTTTGTGTTTGTTTTTGTTTTGTTACTTTAAGATCTTTAAATACAAATTATATTTGAAACACTGAATATAAGAAGGAAACATTAATGGCAGAGAAAACTGAAAACATCAACTAAAGAAATCAATATCCCTCTCCCCAAAATATACAAAAACATCTGATTATATATTTTTTAAAAAGGAATAAAATCAAATGATCATAATTTTAAATGATATAGTTTTGTTTTCTTTAGACTCATTTGAGAGGTAAAATTGTACCTAACTAAATTCTGACCTTTCTGAATTTTATTCTGTTTTTCTCTTGGTTCTCTTGGTTTCCTGTAGGATGCTCACTATAATTTTAGCTACATTTAGGGGATGAGGGAAAAAGGGGACGTGGCATGAAGCCAAATGAAATTATTTTCAACATTTGCAAGAAAAATGGGATAAAAACTTCCATAAATCTTCTTTGGCAAACAACAAAAGCTCTATTTCAAGTTTATCTTTTGGACGAGCTGGATAAATTGGTAAGAGTTAAGAGATGCATCATTACAAGAGTTAGAGTAAGAAAGAATCAAAGCCAAACAGCATTTCACATTTTGCTAACAGCTCTAAGGAGTCAGGCTCTCCCCTCAGAAGCGTGTAAGAGAGTGTCAGCTGGTGGTCACACGATGACTCTTCTCTCTCTACTCAAGAAACCAGCGCTGACCCCGTGTTTTTCTATACTTCCCCTAACATTTGCCATTTTATGGTTCTCTATGTTCTTCCTTTATCTCTCAAAAGAAAGAGGGAAGCAAACCACTGCCATCGTTGGCGCTTTCAACCCACCACCAACTGGGCTCACTGCCAACAACTCTAAATGCTTAGTTCTTTATTAGTGTATATGTCGTTATGGTTGGCTTCTATTCTTACTGTCACACAAAAATAAATAAAATAACTACATTTAATGCAAACAAAAGAAAGTGAGATTAAAGAGTCCTGACCAAGTGAAATACTTAACAACTTTCAATTAAAAAACCAAAGTTACATACATACATACATACTTAATAGCACTAAGAACATACTGTATCAATTATTTGAAAAATAAATGAGTGATCACAGACATAAGAAATTATTTTACTATTAATATATATTTTTCTTGGTATAGGCAGATATGACACACATATGGTTTCTACCTTATCTAAGACAAAAGAGAAAACGAAATATAACTTATTGCATGTTTACCCCAAACACAGCACTTACTGTGCCACAGGTAACCTGGTACAAAATATTTCGTCTATGGTGTAGAATGCCTGGTCATGTTAACAGTTTTAGAAAGGCATGTCATGTCCACAAGTACATTAAATGCCCAAATATCCATTCTATAACAGAAATTATCAGCAAAAATGTTTAGGTTATAACAGTCCAAAATTTTCTAGTGCTTTATGAGTTTTAGATATATATTGTCTGATCAGTTAGTTTGGATACAATTTTAAATAAGCAAATCATTACCCTAGAAAAACAGCTAAACTTTCCTATAACACTGCAGAAACTTCCCAGGGAAGGTGGGTTGAAAAGTCAGAAAAGTGATCCAAATTATTCTTTTTTCTTTATTATTATTATTATTTATACATTCAATCACTATACATCATTTAGATTTTTTAAATGAAGTTTATTCTTCTTCACGCATGGCTTTCTATATAGCCACGTCACCATTTGTACACTTGCACATAGGTCTAAATGCACTCCTCTCTCCCCTGAGAGTGTGCCCCTGAATAAAACAACAATATTTCTGTAACAATATCTTAAATAAACCAAGGAAGGGAAAGTAACATGTCACACCTACCATCAAGGTCTACACATTTTGAGAATTAAATACTCTGGCGAGGTACACAACATCTACTCATTTACTCAGTTCAATACAAGCGTATATGAGCTGCCTTAATGGAGAGGAGGAAGGAGGGAAGGTGCATGGCTTACCTGGATACTGTCTTCTTTTACCTGAACACTATCTTCTTTTTGGTTATTCCTTTCACCAAGTTGGGTTTTGTTTTGGTGTCTGTTATGTTCCAGACCGGGAGGGATGGATAGGGACAGGGACAGGGGAAGACAGGAGGAAAACAGGTAAGGGATAGAAACTTGTGTAGGTCTCTAGAAGATTATATGGAAGAGGGAATGGATGTGGAGGCACCCGGATGGGGGTGTGGGCTCTGAGTTTGAGCTTTTCCTGGCGCTGAGGCAGAATTGGAGAACTGCATCAAAAATATGGAACACTTCATGAATTCACATGTCATCCTTGAGCAGGGGCCATGATAATCATCCCTGTATCGTTTTAATTTTAGTATATGTGCTGCCGAAGCAAGTACCATCATTTAGATTTTAAAGAGACTTTACCCACCATGATATACATCTCAGTTCAGTCCAATTAAGAATACTATAATGTCTCTCTTTCATAGCCTGATTTGCTTCACTCAGCAGCAGATCTTCCATATTTGTCCACTTTTTATCAAATTTAAGGAGTCAGGCTCTCCCCTCAGAAGCGTGTAAGAGAGTGTCAGCTGGTGGTCACACGATGACTCTTCTCTCTCTACTCAAGAAACCAGCGCTGACCCCGTGTTTTTCTATACTTCCCCTAACATTTGCCATTTTATGGTTCTCTATGTTCTTCCTTTATCTCTCAAAAGAAAGAGGGAAGCAAACCACTGCCATCGTTGGCGCTTTCAACCCACCACCAACTGGGCTCACTGCCAACAACTCTAAATGCTTAGTTCTTTATTAGTGTATATGTCGTTATGGTTGGCTTCTATTCTTACTGTCACACAAAAATAAATAAAATAACTACATTTAATGCAAACAAAAGAAAGTGAGATTAAAGAGTCCTGACCAAGTGAAATACTTAACAACTTTCAATTAAAAAACCAAAGTTACATACATACATACATACTTAATAGCACTAAGAACATACTGTATCAATTATTTGAAAAATAAATGAGTGATCACAGACATAAGAAATTATTTTACTATTAATATATATTTTTCTTGGTATAGGCAGATATGACACACATATGGTTTCTACCTTATCTAAGACAAAAGAGAAAACGAAATATAACTTATTGCATGTTTACCCCAAACACAGCACTTACTGTGCCACAGGTAACCTGGTACAAAATATTTCGTCTATGGTGTAGAATGCCTGGTCATGTTAACAGTTTTAGAAAGGCATGTCATGTCCACAAGTACATTAAATGCCCAAATATCCATTCTATAACAGAAATTATCAGCAAAAATGTTTAGGTTATAACAGTCCAAAATTTTCTAGTGCTTTATGAGTTTTAGATATATATTGTCTGATCAGTTAGTTTGGATACAATTTTAAATAAGCAAATCATTACCCTAGAAAAACAGCTAAACTTTCCTATAACACTGCAGAAACTTCCCAGGGAAGGTGGGTTGAAAAGTCAGAAAAGTGATCCAAATTATTCTTTTTTCTTTATTATTATTATTATTTATACATTCAATCACTATACATCATTTAGATTTTTTAAATGAAGTTTATTCTTCTTCACGCATGGCTTTCTATATAGCCACGTCACCATTTGTACACTTGCACATAGGTCTAAATGCACTCCTCTCTCCCCTGAGAGTGTGCCCCTGAATAAAACAACAATATTTCTGTAACAATATCTTAAATAAACCAAGGAAGGGAAAGTAACATGTCACACCTACCATCAAGGTCTACACATTTTGAGAATTAAATACTCTGGCGAGGTACACAACATCTACTCATTTACTCAGTTCAATACAAGCGTATATGAGCTGCCTTAATGGAGAGGAGGAAGGAGGGAAGGTGCATGGCTTACCTGGATACTGTCTTCTTTTACCTGAACACTATCTTCTTTTTGGTTATTCCTTTCACCAAGTTGGGTTTTGTTTTGGTGTCTGTTATGTTCCAGACCGGGAGGGATGGATAGGGACAGGGACAGGGGAAGACAGGAGGAAAACAGGTAAGGGATAGAAACTTGTGTAGGTCTCTAGAAGATTATATGGAAGAGGGAATGGATGTGGAGGCACCCGGATGGGGGTGTGGGCTCTGAGTTTGAGCTTTTCCTGGCGCTGAGGCAGAATTGGAGAACTGCATCAAAAATATGGAACACTTCATGAATTCACATGTCATCCTTGAGCAGGGGCCATGATAATCATCCCTGTATCGTTTTAATTTTAGTATATGTGCTGCCGAAGCAAGTACCATCATTTAGATTTTAAAGAGACTTTACCCACCATGATATACATCTCAGTTCAGTCCAATTAAGAATACTATACACATCCTTGGGACCAGCAGTTAGCATAATGGCTATGACGCTGGACTCCCATGTAGTCGACCACAGTTTGCATCCCGGACCCACTGGCTTAAACTCACACTGGGCGCATGTGCATGCGTGCCCAAGATCCCAAGAGGAGAATGGAGGAGAAGGGATTGCAGAGTGGCCATCCCCCCTGGGGGGGTGATTTCTTGCTTTCTGTCTCTCTGTCTCTCTCTGTCTGGCGAGCACATGCGCCCTAGAGCAAAAACCTCTTCAAAAAAAAAAGAGTACTATACACATCCTCAACAGATAATAAACCGTATCTGTGTCCCACAAATGTCCTACTTCTATTTTTCCCCAAGTTTTCCTTTCCTTTGCTCATCCCCTCTTACACTTTCCTTCCACTTTGTCTCTAGTGTCTATGACAATTTTTAAAGCTTTTATGTTCTCCAGACTTTCAGTATCTACCATAGAGTGTGGACAGTTGGTTTATGTTAAGTGGAGATATACAATGTCTCTCTTTCATAGCCTGATTTGCTTCACTCAGCAGCAGATCTTCCATATTTGTCCACTTTTTATCAAATTTGAGGGCCACGTTGTTTGTTTATGGCTGAATAGTATTTCATGGAGTTTATGTGCCACACTTTTCCAATCCATTCATCTGTTTGTGGACATGTGGGTTGGTTCCATGTTTTAGCAATCATAAATAATGCAACAATAAATACAGTTGTGGAAGTGCTTTTCTGACTGAACGTTCTCCTGTCCTTTGGGTAGATACACGGGAGTGGAATAGCTGGAATATATGCTAATTCTATTTGAAGGTCTTTGAGGAACTCCCATATTCTTTTCCACAGTGGCTGAACGCATTTACATTCCTACCAACAATAGAGAAGTGTTCCCCATTCACCATATCCCTTCCAGCACTTACCATTTTTTTTTTTTAATCTTCACCATTCTGATTGGGGTTAGATGGTATCTCATTTTTGTTTTGATCTGTATCTCCCTTATGATGAGGGATGCTGAGTATTTTTTCATATACTTTTTGGCTGTTCATATAGCTTCCTTAGAAAGTTGTTTATTCTGCTCATTTTCCTATCTTTTAATTGGGTTAATCATTTTCTTCGAGGTAAGCCACTTGAGTTCCCTGTGTATTCTGGTTATCAGTCCCTTTTCTGAAGCACAGTTAACAAAAATTTTCTCCAATTCTGAGGGTTGTCAATTCACACTAATTATGGTGTCCTGTGCTGTGCAGAAACTTCTTAATCTGATGTAATCCCATATGTCCATTTGGGAGATTATTGCCTGTGCTTTGGGGGTCTTGCTTAAGAAGTCGTTACCTACCCCAAAGTCTCCCAGAGTTTCCCCAGTGTTTTCTACCAGTAGTTTTATAGTTTGCAGTCTTAGGTTTAGATCTTTGATCCACTTTTATTTGACTTTTGTTAATGGTGACAGATAGGAATTCAGATTTACCTTTCTGCAGTTGGATACCCAGTTTTTTCAGCACCATTTGCTAAAGATGTTTTTGTTTTCCCACTGAACTGACTGGTACCCTTTGTCACAGATCAGTTGGCTGTATATTTTGGGGGATTATTTCTGGGGTATCTACTCTGTTCCATTGGTTCTATTCTCTGTTTTTGTGCCAGTACCATCCTGTTTTGATTATCACAATTTTGTAATAAATTTTGGGGTCAGGAATTGAGATGTCACCCACTCTACTCTTCTTGCACAGGATGGCTTTGGCAATACAGGGTCTTTTATGATTCCAGACTAATTCTATGATTGTCTTTTCTAGATCTGTGAAGAGTATCTCTTGTAATTTTATAGGAATTGCATTAAATATGTAGATTAAGTTGGGTAGGATCGTCATTTTGATGAATTCTGCCAATCCAGGAACATGGGATGTCCTTCCACTCTTTTGTGTCCTTTTCAATTTCCTCTTTAAGGTTTACGGAGTTTTCCTTATAGAGGTCTTGGACATCCTTTGTTAGTTTTATTCCTAGGTTTCTTATACTTCTTGTGGCTACGGTAAATGGGAGTACTTTCTTCAGTTCTGTCTCTGTCTGCTTGTTGTTTGGATAGAAATCCTATAGATTTTTGTAGGCGAATTTTGTATCCTGCCACTTTACTATATGTGTTTATTATTTCAATGAGTTTTTCTTTTTCATGGATACCGTTGAGTCTTCTATGTACACAGTCATGTCATCTGCAAAAAGAGAGAATTTCAGCTCTTCTTTCCCTTATTGGAATGCCTTGTATTTCCTTCTCTAGTCTGATCGTATTGGCTAGGACTTCCAGGACCATATTGAATAGGAGCGGAGAAAGTGGGCAGCCTTGTCTGGTACCAGTTTTTAGGCGAAAAGCTTTCAACTTTTCCCCATTCAGTATTATGTTAGCTAACGGGTTTTTATAGATGGCTTTTATTATGCTGAGAAACGATCCTTCTATGCCAATTTTCCTGAGCATCTTAATCATAAAAGAATGTTGTATTTGGTCAAATGCTTTTTCCACATCAATCAAAATGATCCTATGGTTTTTACCTTTCCTTCTGTTAATATGGTGTATTACATTTATGGTTTTGACTATGTCGAACCACCCTTGCATCCGTGAAATAAAGCCTACCTGGTCTTCATGAATAACATTTTTCATATGCTGTTGAATATGGTTAGCAATTATCTTGTTGAAAATTTTAGCATTTATATTCATCAAAGATATAGGTCTGTCGTTTTCCTTTTTTGTCATATCCTTATCCGCTTTGGGAATGAAGGTAATGGAAGTTTCATATAATGAATTTGGAAGAGTTCCTTCCTTTTGGATCTCTAGAAACAGTGTGAGTAGGATGGGGGTTATCTCTTTTTTAAAAGTTTTGAAAAATTCAACAGTAAAGCCTTCGGGACCTGGGCTTTTCTTTGTTGGAAGGTCACTTATTACTGACTCAATCTGATTGTTGTTATAGGTCTATTCAGGCTTTCAATGTCCTCCTGAGTCAATCTTGATAGATTATATGTGCCTGGGAATTTGTCCATTTCATCCAGGTTTTCTTCTTTGTTGGCATATAGTCGCTCATAGTATCCTCTAATGATGTTTTGTCTTTCTATTGTGTCTGTGTAATGTTGCCTGATTCATTGTGAATTTAATGTATCTGATTCCCCTTCTCTCTTCTTTAATAATTTTGCTTATTGTGTGTCAATCTTGTTTATCTTTTCAAAGAACCACCTTTTTCTCTCATTTATTTTCTGTATAGTTCACTTATTTTCTATTTCACTCAATTCTATTCTAATCTTTATTATTCTTTTCTCCTGGCATTTTTGGGATTTTTCTGTTGCTGTTTTTCCAACTCTCTGAGTCATGATGTTAGGCTGTCTTTTTGCCACCTTTCTATCTTTTTCTTGTAAACATTAATTGCTGTGAACTTCCCTCTTATGGCTGCTTTTTCAGTGTCCCATAAATTATGGAAACTTGGGACCAGCAGTTAGCGTAATGGCTATGTCACTGGACTCCACGTAGTCAACCACGGTTTGAGTCCTGGACCCGGTGGCTTAAACTCACGCCGGACGCGTGTGCGTGCGTGCCCAAGATCCCGAGAGGAGAATGGAAGAGAAGGGATTGTGACATGACCATCACCCCAGGGGGTGATTTCTCACTTTCTGTCTCTCTGTCTCTCTCTGTCTTTCTGGAGAGCGCACGTGCCCTATAGCAAAAAAAAAAAAAAAAAAAAAGTGTTCACTAAATATCAGGTCCCTTTTCCTACAATGTCTCTACCCATCTCAACAAATAAATCTAGTTATAATATTTTTTTAAAAAATTATGGAAACTTGTGTACTTATTGTCATTTGTTTCCATGAATCTTTTTATTTCTGTCAATCTCTTCCGTAGTTATGAAGTCATTCCGAAGTAGGTTATTTAGTTTCTATGCATTTGTGTATTTTTGAGGTTTTTTCCTGAGATTAATATCAAGTTTAATTCCATCATGGTCAGAGAAGATGCTGGATATAGTTTCTATGCCTCTGAATCTGTAAAGGCTGATTTTGTGCCCTATTATGTGGTCAGCCTTCAAGAAAGTACCATGTAATAGGATAGTGTGGAATGGGGGGATGAAGAGAAGAGGATAGAGAATGATAGCAAGAGAATAGAGAGGCAGGACATTAGTGGGACACAGATATGACTTATTACCTGTTGATGAGGACATATATAGTATTCTCAACTGGATTGGTCTGAGAAGTATTTTATGATGGGTAAAGTCTTTTTAGAAGCAAAATGAGAAATAGTGATGGACTGTTTTAAAAAATAATTAGAATAATATTTCTATGCTTTTGAATCTGTAAAGGCTGGTTTTGTGCCCTATCATGTGTTCAATCTTTTAGAAAGTACCATGCATGACAGAGAAAAATGTGTATTTTGTGTTTTGAGGGTGGAAAATTCTGTAGATGCCTATCAAGTCCATCTGATTTATGGTATCATTTAGGTCCTGAATCTCTTTGCTTATTTTTTGTCTCATTGGCCTGTCTAAAGGAGATAATGGCGTGTTGAGATCTCCAGCAATTATTGTGTTACAGTCTATGTCTCCTCTTAGATCTAGCAGTCTTTCCTTCACATATTTTGGTGCTCCTGAGTTGGGTGCATAGATATTTATCATTGTTATATCTTCTTGGTTAGCTAGTCCTTTTACTACTATATAATGCCCTTCTTCATCTCTTCTGACTGTTTTTTGTCTTAAAGCCTATTTTGTCTGAAATCAGTATAGTGGCTCCCATTCTTTTTTGGTTTCCGTTTGCATGGGATAGCTTTTTCTAGCCCTTCACTTTTAATCTGTGTATGTCTTTTTCCATGAGATGGGTTTCTTGTAGGCAGCAGATGGAGAGTTTCTGATTTTTTTTTTTTAAGAGGTTTTTGCTATAGGGCGCTTGCGCTCACCAAACAGACAGAGAGAGACAGAGAGATAGAAAGC